CCCACTCACACACTCAAACACGACGTGGATATGGGTATATTATAACATATTCTAGCCTGTTCTGCTTCAATGGACCCCGGAAATAGCAGACCCCACCCACGGCTATATCGGTAGTTTCATTAACAAGTACAACACAAGTACAGTATTACTGGCGTGTGTAACATAAGACGGGAGCCTGCCAGCCACGCGTGACATTCTCTAGCTGGGTTAACACAGTTCACACCTATTCGATTTGTCGGATCATTTGATTGGTCAGATGAATTTGGTGGTCGGATCATTCTTTGTATGTTTTGTTGCTGGATGGGGCACTTACATGCCCTTATTGTGTGGCAAATGCCATAAAACTGTTACTAAAATTAAACTTACCTTGATGGCTGTTGTCGAGTCGATGTGTTATTTCTGACTGAATAAAGTGTCTGTTCCTCTTGCTTTTCCCATTCACTAAATCATCGTTGACGTGTCGATGTTCTTCTCTTTGTTTTACCAAAAAATAATTAATTAAATAAAATAGAAAATAAATAAATAAGTGAATTAAATAATATAAAATAATGATGATGAATAACGAGTGGCATCGGTGGCCTAGTGGTTAGGCTTAGTGCCAGATCTGCGACAGACATCTGCGATCATGGTTCTCCATTCATTCCTTTGCTCGGATGCTCTTAAAAAAGCTACGTTTCCCTGATCTTTCCCTGTTACCCATTGGTTTAGGTTCCCTAAGTATGTTGTTCTGGGCCTACCCCTGCCTCGTTTGCCTTCAATTTTGCCTGTGAGAGCTAGATGTTCAAGGCCGTTGTGTCTATTCAGGTGTCCCAAAAACTGCATTTGTCGTTTCTTGATTGTTTTTAACATTGAGCTTCCCACGTGGGCTTCATCAAGCATTACCTCATTTGATTTCTTTTCATTCCACAATACTCTTAGCAGTCTCCTAAGAAACCACATTTAGATGGTTAGGCTACCGGACTCGTATTCGTGAGCTTGCGGGTTCAGGGGCTCGAGCCTCAGCTCAGTCCGACGTTTTGTCCTTGGGAAAGACACTTTACACGAATTTCTCATTTACGTATTTTGGTTTTGTCATTTTAGAGATGGACGTTAAACTCGGAGGTCCTGCCTCTTAAATAACTTAATGGTGTTGACAGGGGCGTTAAACCCATACCATTTCACCATAAAAAAATGATTCATGAACTAACAAATTGTTCCTCTTGTGTGGTTTCAGAGAATGGGAGAAACAGCTGAAGCGTCGAGAAAAGGGCCAGAAGCCGAGTCTGCTGAGGGCGCTGTTCAACGTGTTCGGTGTACAATATATCCTTGTGGGCCTGGTTGTACTTATGGAGGTGAGTCAAATATATTGTAGTCAGTGAAGGTAAACTTTAGCCCTCCATTCATGGAGGTAAGCCAATACTTAGTAAGGGTAAACTTTAGACCTCCATTACTTAGCCTCCTGAGGGTGTTGTTTAAAGTGTTTGGTGTACAGTATATCATTGTGGGGCTGGTCCTGTTCATGAAGGTGAACACAACACTTAGGCAGTAAACTTTAGACCTCTGTTACTTAACCTACTGAGGGTGTTGTTCAAAGTGTTTGGTGTACAGTATATCATTGTGGGGCTGGTCCTGCTCTTGGAGGGGATACCTGTATACCTGGAGGTGTCATCTTTGACTCAAAGGTTGACATGTAATGACCCTCCATCTTTCACGGTCGCGAGCTGCCGTTGCACATTCTGCTATATCCAGGCCAGTCCCTGTTCTTATGTTGTTCATCCATGTTATTCTTTGCCTTCCTCTGGCTCTCCTGCCCCTCATCTTTCCTTCAAGCACCTCTTTCACAGTGGTCTCGTGTCTTTTTAAATGGCCATAGTATTGTTTTTTCTACAAAGATACAGTCCGTAGAGAGCCCATTTGCTAGGCCTGCCTCAGATATCGTTTCTTTTCTTTTCTTTTGTTTTGTTTGGATGACCCCAAATGTCTACTAAAATGCTGTGTTGTCAAGTAGCCTATATCATATTGTAACATTATAACATCATGTCACTTGTGAGCTGCGACCTAGAAAACGGCACCTGGGGTCACGGGCGAGAAAAAAAAAACTGGACCAGGTTCAAGGTCGTTATGGAAGCGGCCATATCGCTGTCGCAAACAATCCTCTTTTGAGAAACCAAGTCCAAATTTGGAGAATTTTCGGCTTTTTGTCAGCCCCCCAAAGCTCTATAAAAAAAGATGCACTTTTCAACATCACCAAAATACAGTTTTATGCTATGTTCAAGGTTTACAATGTTCTTTCTTTTTATAAATCCTGATAGGAACAACACAACAAAAACTAGTTTTTTTTTTTTGGTCTCTCAGTCTCTGGTGTTTGAAGTACCCAAAAGGACTTATACCCCCCGGGGCGGTGCCACTGACTGAAGTGTCTTTAGGCCATTCCCAAAAGGGGGACATTAACATGTTTTTATGCACAGTAGAATTGTAAACGGGCTGATTTATCAATGTCATGCTCATAACTGGGCCTGAACTGCAACGGGGAGCTGTTGCTTTTTCTTTCCTAATCCTTACTTTTCGTCATTTTCCTCTACTTGTTTTGTATGTTTGTCACACTCTTATGACCCACTATTTCCGGGGTGCCTTGATAGTCGAAGCAGACTTTGTGCTGTTGAAGCAAGAGAGGTGAACAGAGTAAGTCAGATTCCCTGTAAGGACTTCTCTGTTGACATCCACCCCTTGGCGCTCGTACGACCTTATGCAGTTGCGAGCACAGTAAAACCTTACTGAAACTTAAAGGACTTGATTGGATTGCTTGCGACACCGACGATATTTTCTGAATTTGTTACTAATCTCTGCAGTGGTAGATGAAATAACGCTGTGCTGTGAGGTCACGCCATGGTCGCTCGCTGGAGACCCGGGTTCGATTTCAGAACGAGGAGGAATGTTTTTGAATTAAAATAAAATTGAAGGAACGACTTGAACTAAACTTGATTGATCCCCAAGGGGAAATATGGACTACAATGGCAAACATAGTACATGCTTTATAAATGCCTGGTTTCTTAGGAGACTGCTGATAATATTGTGGAAGGAAAAGAAATCGAGTGAAGTAGTGCTTGATGAAGCCCACGTGGGACGCTCACTGTTAAAAACAATGAGGAAACGACAAATTCAGTTTTTGGGACACTTGAATAGGCATAAAGGTTTTGAACATCTAGCTCTTACTGGCAAAATTGAAGGCAAACGAGGCAGGTGTAGGCCCAGAGCAACCTACTTAGGGGGAACTAAACAAATGGGTAACAGGGAAAGATCGGGGAAACGTAGCTCTTTTAAGAGCATCCGAGCAAAGGAATGAATGGAGAACCATGATCGCCGATTTGTGTCGCAGATCTGGCACTGGATGATGATGATGATGATGATGATAATGATTAACACTTACAGGTAGGCCCCCACAATCAAAGAATACAAAATACACAATATTATAACGCCAATGCAAAACAATTTTACAAACATGACATTGCTGGTCGCCACAATGCCGCGCCCTGTTTTTATAGAGCTAGGGTTGTCGTGTTTTGCCCAAGGACACACCCCAGTGAGTGACCACCTATGTTGTCGCGATCTTAAGAGGTGGGGAACAGGTGGGGGGTAGTAGGGGGGTAAGGAGGGGGGAATGGATATG